GCGTGGCGTACGGTAGCGATGGCTTTTTGCTGATTAGCGCGGCGAGCGTTTTGAGGTGCGACTGCGCGAGCGCCACCATCACAGGGCGCGACCGCATCACGAACGTCACGGCCAGGTTGTCGAGCTCCGCGGAATAGCCTGCGTCCAAGTTGTTCGCGAAAAAGTTTACGGTGTGCTGCATCACCGTGGGGCAAGGCTCTGAGCCTACGAACTCGTCCACAAGCCGGAAAATCGGTTTTGCCAGCGCAATTTCGTCTACGCGGATGAAACTCATGATCTCGAAGATGTAGTCTTTGATCACCAGGCTGTTCTTCAGGCAAATTGAGCGAATCGCGTCGATTACCAGCTGCTTCAGGAACGGCTCCGAGCACGCATTCATCAACTTCAAGTACGACTTGAACACCTGCAACACTACGCTGCTCTCTGCGCTCATCCATAGCGTCACGCGGCAGGCCTCGAGCAACACGCTGTCGCTGCTTGCCTTCGACAAATACGTTTGCAAGATGTGCACCAGCTTCTGCTTCACCGCCGTCGCGTCGTTGACGCCGAGCAAATTTGCGCTGCGCATCGAGCGCAACCGACCTTGGTTGACAGCGTAGACTATGGCTTCGTCCGCGCCGTCGGCTTGCGCGCCCAGTTCGTCTGCACACACGCACTCGAAAATCTTTTCGGCGCAGTACAGCAACGCGAGATCGAGAGTGTCGTCGAGGAAGCCGAGCACTTCGAAGCGCTCGACCAGCAGCGCGTACGTCGCGGACGCGTCGATTTCCAGCAAACAACGTAACGCCTCTGCTTTCACTGCCACGTTTGAGTCGCACTCGATCATGTGCTGCAAGAAAGGAGCCACATCAGAGTCAAAGTCGACATTGCCGTACTTCAGACACATGGCGCGAATGAACAGGCACGCGTTCCGCCGCACGTAGCTGAAGTCATCCGAAAGCAAACCGATGATAATATCGCGAAACGAGGAGATAAACGTCGAAGACGCGTAGCGACACAACCCTCGCAGACAGCTGCCGCGCATGTACTCATTCGGCGAGGTCAGCTCGTTCCGAATCACCTGGCACAGCAATATCTGCGCCTCATTCTCGCACAGGTTCGGAATACAACTCCAGAACACCGTCGTCAGCTTCTGCAACACGTGATCGCGCAACCCCCCGGCATACTTAATAATGGGCAGCAGGTACTTGTTTTCCCACGCGTCGAAGTTGTTGCCGCGGAGCAGCGTTTGCAACGCGGCAACTTTGTGTTCTATCTTTGCTTTTTGTAGCATCTGGATCACGTCGTAAGACGTCGGCGCCTCGGCATGCTCCGCTATGTACAGCTGCCGTTCCACCGAATTGTTCAGTATCATGAGGCGTCCAGCGTAAGTAACTTATGCGCCCAGTGCCGGCTGATCACATTTTAATTAATAAAAAGTTCACTTGAAAATGGCGCTCTGCGCATTGAAAAAATACATCGCGCCTGGCGCCGCTTCGGCGCGCAGCTAATCGCTGCCCTCATCGCCGTCTCCTGTATTGAGTTTGCTGGGATCCTTGCGCAGTTCCCGCAGCTTCTGTTCAGCCTCCGAGTTGTACAGGTCTCTTCCGTTGTTTTTGTACGCGTACGTCACCCTGATCTTGTTCTTTCCCATTATGAATCCGTTGAACTTCGCGATCGCGGCTTCAGCGTTTTCATAGCTTGCATAAGTCACCAAAGCATGCTGGCGCTCCTTATTGCTATTCGTCAATGTTTGCAGCTTCATCTTAAGCACCGGGCCAACCGATTTAAACATAATTTCCGCGTCGCTCTCCGTCAGCGATAGCGGCAGGTTGCCCACGTAAACCGCGCACTCGACGTCCATGTTCGAAGCGTTGCGGTACATTTGGCGCACCTTCAGCGGCCGCTCATAAAGACTGCAGGTAGTCAAGATCTTGTGCGCGTACTCGGCAACCGCGTCGCTCTCGAACTCGACGAATGCGAAGCACTGGTTCTCGAAGTTGATGCTGTGCTTTTTAATAACCAAGTTCTTCACCGGGCCCGCCTGGATGCAGAGCTCCCACAACAGTTTCTCGTCTACGTTTTTCGACAAGTTCCCAATGTACAGCGTGGCGTCCTCATTGCGTCCGCTCTCAAAGACAGCGTTCATCGAGCCTAAATGCAGTCCATTTTTGCGTAATATTTCGCTATAAAATGACGCAGCCTCTCCGAGTTCCATGAGTTTCGTCCTTGGATTGGGCAGTCGGTGCAGCTTTTATAGCGGAGCGCGAAATCGCGACAAGCTCTCCTTTAAGCTTTTCGAAGCCAGCTTTGATCAACTGGCGAGTTTTACTCTGCGCGGTGCCGCGCGCCGTGCTACGCGGAACTGCAGCCTCTACAAAACTGTTCGCAAGATCGTGCCCACGCATTGCGTGGACGTAGTCCAGCTGTTCAAGGACGCCGACGAGTACTTCCACTCGCTGGTCGCGGACATCCGCGCCGCCACGGACCGCATTTTGATCGAGACCTACATTATCGACGAAAGCCCGGCGGCACAGACGCTCGTCGCCGAGCTCTGCAAGGCCGCTCGCCGCGGCGTCCCAGTTGTGCTATCCTACGATTCTTACGGCACCGGCCCGCTCTCCGCCGTTCTCGCTGCAAAGATGCGCTCTGCCGGCATCTTGATTATTCCGTGGAACCCGCTTGGGCTGGGTCAATTTGGACCTGCGCTGTACCGCAATCATCGGAAACTACTGGTGATTGACGACATTGTCTACGTCTCTAGCTCGAACTTAGATTTGCGTGCCTTTGGCGCAAACGACTTTGACTTTTTAAAACCACACAAACGGCACTTCGACAAAATCTTCCACCCGCTAACTACCTTTCAAGACTTTCTGTTCCCGCAAATGAACAATGTGCGTCTGCTGACGGACTTCAATCACAGCGTTAAGCTAATTAGCGCGCAGTTCGCGGACATGATCGCCACAGACATTCAACACAATCTAGCGCGCGCCTGTCCAAGGTTTGCGCACAAACCAATTTTCGACGCGTTTCGCCGGAAGCCGGAAGCCGCAGCACTGCGCAACGCTCGGCCTTCGCTTCCCTTAGTTTTTAGCGCTTCTAAAAATTATAGGGTTTTCCGCAATGTAGAGGTAGGGTTTGTAAAAACTGATGGAAAGCTCAGCAAGCTTTCGACTTATAAGGAAGCGATAGAGTCTGCAATTCGGGAAGCAAAATCGTCAATCTACGTCAGTTCCAGCTATTTCCAGCCGCACACCTCGCTGCTCAACTTAATTAAAGTCGCGCTGCGACGCGGCGTGCAGCTCACTTTCAACTTTTCGCTCGTTTCGGACGTGCCGTTCGACGAATTGGCGACAGCACGAATAATCCAGCTGTTAGGACCTAGCAAATTATTAAAGATATACTACTCTGACCGCAGACACATCCACAGCAAAACGCTAACTGTAGATTCAAAGCTCACAATTCTCGGCTCGCACAACCTCGACAAAATTAGTTTTTTCCGGAATTGCGAAGCAGGGGTCGTCTTTTTGAATGAAGCAGTTACGAAAGCGGTTCAGAAGTCTTACAATTCTCTGGAACTGAAGCAAGCGAGTTCTGAGCTGACCACACTCGACGCGGTCAAGTCGTTCTGCGCTAGCAAAATTCTTTCCGTCATCGGCACGCGCATGCTGTAGTTTACGCGGTGGCATGCTGCAGCTGCTGCGTGCTCAGCGTGATATCTTTGACCAGCGCAGAGTCCACATAACAATAGTGCTCATCGAGCACGTTGCACGGCTCTTTCAGCGAGATGAAGCCGTAGTTCGACCTGAGCTGGCTGCGCTGTTACGCGACTTACTTGCTGGTGCTGCTGAAGCTTCAGTTTTGAAAACCAGTTCGCGTAATTATCGATAAGTTTTGACTTTGATGTGACGTAAAGACTGTAAGACTTTCCTTCGTGCAGCGTCACGAAGCACAAACTTATGTAATCTATGTCGCTGTCCGCCTTAACACCGATATCAAAGTTTTCCGCGAGTTTCACTAGTTGCGATTGTTTGTGCTGAACCAACACTTTATCGTAGTCTGGTGCCCACTTCGCGCGCTCGCAGTGCGACAGGAAAGGAGTCGTCACGCGAACAATCCGAAATGGCTTGTTTGCAGGCAAACTGACCATTTGGTCATGCGTCAAGTTTGAGATCTTAAAGTGTGTGTAAAACTTTGCGCTTATATTATAGAAATTATTGACCAGAGAATAATTGCGCTGTTGGCGAGTCATGCGCTGTATTTTTGTTGATAACAAATAAAACCGAGGGATGAAGTTCGGATAGTCGGTCATGTCTGGTTACCTCGAGCCAATTTTGAAGTACTTCCTGCAGCATCCGACGTTCTTCTCCGACGTCAAAGCGATCGTTGACGCGCCGCTGCTCGTCAAGCCGAGCGAGTTTCTCGAGATGCTCAAGGTCAAGCAGCCATCTGAGTTGCTTCAATGTCTTGCGCAGCCTGGTGAAGATTTGCTCATCCCGGAGTGGACTTTTGACATCAGCAGCTACGGAAACGACGACTTTTTGAAAATGTTTATGTACGATGTCAAGCTTGACGCAGCTGTGGAAAATATCATTGAAGACTTTGACCTGCTGTTCAAACCAGAAGCGGTGCACAAGATCAGCAAGAAAGTGTTTATGATCTTAAAATTCGGCCACTTGAAAAACGCAAAACACGAACTTCGCGCAGTTAACTCTTGCGATTTCAGCGAGCTGAAGCCGATGATTGAGAAACATGAGGAGCACATCCAGGATTACAAGCGAACGACGTCTCTCGCTGCGGAAAACCCCCACGTTTTCTCGCTCACCACTCTCTGCGGCTTGGAAGAAAGTTATAATCAGCAATGCTGCGTATACGCCGGATCGCTCGACGTTGATGAATCCTCCGCTTCGTTCATGTTACAACTTTCGGCTCTCTGTAACTCCCCGGCCCGGGTGCGAGAAGAGATGAAAGAGCTCATTATTTGCGCTTACCACAAGCGACTGGCGCAGCTCGGGATGTTCATGGTCAAGATGTGGAAATACCTATATCGGCGCGTTAATCCAAACTTCGATTCGGAGTGCCACACTCTAATTTCGCTTCCGCGGCCCTTCATCGTTCCGGGAGGTCGGTTCATCGAAATATATTACTGGGACAGCTACTGGATTGTGCTGGGGTTGATTGCAAGTGGTTTGTTGTCAGTGGTTAGAGACTCGCTCATTAATTTTTTTTACATGGTCGAGCGCTACGGCTTCATTCCGAACGGCAGTCGCGTTTACTATTTAGACCGAAGCCAACCGCCGCTATTGTCCTCAATGCTACGAGCGTACTACCATGTTTCTGAAGATTTGGACTTCGTCATAGAACATCTCCCTTTGATCGAGCGCGAATACAACTTTTGGATGAACTCGCTTGGCGGGCACGTTGTGGAATTGACTGACGAGGACGGTAAGGTTCATCTACTTAACCGACACTACTCGATTCTTGGCGAGCCGCGGCCCGAAAGTTACCGTATGGACCTGTTAGTCGGAGAAGTTTTTGAGAAAAAATACAGTAATGACGAGGCCGTGAAGGCCGAGTTTTACCGTTCGATTCGAGCGGCGGCAGAAAGCGGGTGGGATTTCAGTTCACGCTGGCTGCGCCCAGCAATCGAGGGCGCAGAGGAAAAGTCGTTTGAATCGAGTCGCACAGAAGACAAAGCGCTGCACAATTTATGTTTGGTCGACATTGACACGGTAAACATCATTCCGTGCGACTTAAACGCTTTTCTCTATTTGCTGGAGACAGATCTCGCCTATTTTTACTCTCTCGCACACGATAACCTTGCTGTCAGCCATTACAGTGAGCTTGCCGAAGCCCGAAGAACTGCGATGTTTAAGTTCTGTTGGAGCGAGTTAAATAAGTGCTGGTGCGACTACGATATGCGCAATAAGAAGCACTCAAAGGTCATTAGCGCAGCTGCGTTTGTACCCTTGTGGGCTGGTCTCAATGATCGTATAAAAACTAGCGAAGACAGGTTAATTTACCTCAAGCCTCTTGAACATTTGATCAGGCCCTATGGCGTGGTTTCGACAACAATTCGAGCCAGTTTGCAATGGGACAGTCCAAACGTTTGGGCTCCGTCCCACCACATTGCAGTTGATTTCTTGTGTGGCGGACGGTTTTGGGAAAAACGCGAAAACGTTGCTGAGCTTAAGGAAACTGAGGCGTTCAAGATCGCCGCTAGCTGGGCTTCGCGGTTTTTGAACACGATTTTGTACAGGTACGAGCATCACGGCATCTGCTCGGAAAAATACCACTGCAGGATTTTGGGCAAAAGTGGACTAGACGGAGAGTACATCACGCAAGAAGGCTTCGGCTGGACAAACGGTGCTGTGCTCGATCTGATGTGGAAGTTTGGCCGCCACTTGACAGTAGACGGCCTGTTTGCAGAAGTAGTACAGTAGAGCTAAGACCTCTAGTTTTTTCCTACGAACTTCTTTTGATTGAGTCTGGCGTTTTGCAGATTGATAAACGCATCTAATTCGAGTTTGCGCAGCTGCGCAGTTGCGTTTGCTTGCTTTCGAACTTCCTGAGAAAGAAAATGTGAAACTTACATTGGTTAAGAAATTTGCGGTTCGATCAGGTCTACGCCAGGAGTTTTCATCAGATGGCGCGCTGCGTCAGCTCTTTGTGTACTTACTAGAAATCTGTTCCTACGGATAAATTTAGTGTTTTCGTGTACACGCCATAAGGAATAGTAAACAAAATGACGAGCTGCCGCAGAAAACTCGATTTCATATCCTTGCGTAAAAACGAACGCAATCAAAATTAAAAGAGAATTTTAATTCCGAGCAAGCTTCTGATCGAGGTCAGTTCGATGGGGACGAACGACTGCGACGTGATAGCTCTCGGCCCGACCAAGCTGTTTGATCAGGGCGTAGTGGGATCGGGCTTCTCGGGAGAGGTAAAGAAAGTGCTTGACGAGACAGGCGCGAGCTACGCGCTGAAAGTCTCGAACGAGAAGACTATCCGTTTCACCATGTACGACTCTGCCGGCGCAAGTCGTTCTTCGCTCGTACTGCCGGAAGCTGCCGAATTTGAAAAAATGCGAAAGCTGTACAGAGCAGGCATTCCGGTGCCGAAGCCTTACGCTTTGCAGGTCTACGCAAATTCAGCTGGAATTGGGAACACTGCGCTACTAATGGACATGATCGAAGGGCAAACGCTGCGCGACTGGCTCAGCTCAAAGCCCGGTGGGGTTGTCGACAAGTACTCAGGCAGAACGATTCACCCGGTGCAAACCGTGAGCGACGCCGTAGACCGCATTGATGTTGCAATTGCTATAGTGAAGAGTTTGATCAAGCTGAAGAAACTCGCATTTTTCGCAGACTTCAAGCCTCGCAACATAATTATTTGCGAGCAACTGTGCGGCGACGAAAAGTACTTTACTTCGCATCTCGTCGACGTGGGTGGCACAGTTTTGTACCAAGATCTCGCTTCAAGTAGCTACATCGACCGCTCGGACTCGGACAGCGAGTCACAGTCTACGCTTTATTTCCACCCGCTGAGAGACCGCTACTTGATCGAGAGCACCTGTTCATACCTATCGCCGGAAATCGCTTTTTTAATATCGGAGTACGACTACTGGCGCGCGAGACTTAGCAGTCACTATTTTCGCAACACTAACGACGACTTAGTGACAGAAGAGCAGGCGCGCGCCGCAGCTGCTGTGCATTCGATGTGTAAAGCTTTGAACGAAAAGCTGAGCAAGTACACGCAAATCGAGAATGCCGTGGTGTACAACTACCTGCACGTTCGCCGCGCGTTCCGCATGATGGGCGTGCTTCGCGAGCTCTATAGCTTAAAAGACATCAAGGCGTACGAAACGCTCGACGCGTCTGTGTTGCCGCCGACGAACTCAACTTTATTGCTTTCTTCATCGCAAAACGACTACATTCGAATTTCTGAAAAATCGAGCGTGTTCACTTTCGGGCTCATACTAACGGAGCTGTTCGGGGGCAGGCGAACGGGTTTAACTTCTTTATCTCGGCTGAAACTAATCAACGACGTATTTTTTCAGCAGAGCCACAACGCGGAGTTTCGCATGGTAATGGAGTGGGAAGCGCACAACAGTCTGCTGGCGCGCGCGGGCGACCAGTTGAAGTTGAACCACGTATCGACGCTGCATTTGCAAAACTCGGCGAACTTATCGACAGACTCGACGCATTGCGATTCGTTTAGCAGCTTCGCGCTAGAACTAGAGAGTCTGTCCTCCAAGGAAGAGCTCAGCCGCGAAAGCACGCCGCAGTTCCCAACCCACTCTTACTTTAACATTTTCCGAAACTACTCGTACCCTTTTGAAGGACTATTGAGCGTTCCAAACATGAAACTCGATTCGCCGCGGGAGTACCGAGTGAAGAAATGTGTTCTGAAGCTGCTGGACTCCAGTTTGCGGGCGGACCCGAACTGCAGGCCGACACTAAATACGCAGCTCGCTATGCTATACGACTTGAAGCACAAGATATTGACCTGTTAGCGCCGGGCGTGTCGCTTGAATCAGACAAAGTGCCGCGCACAGGCATAGCGGTTTTCCGCATCGCACAAGAGCGCATCCACAAATAAGTATTTATAGTAGATTTAGTTTACGCTCCGGAAAAAACCGGGGTTAATTAGTTTTTTCACATTTCTAAAGCAGGAAAGAACTAACTAAGAAAGATGGATCTGATTGAGCGGATTGATCAGTACTTACGCTTCGAGCGGGACGTTGAGATGATTAAGGCGGTTCAGCACGCGAATCCGGACGAGCTGGAATTCGCGTTTGCGAAGCGCATCGAATTTGGCACCGCTGGACTTCGTGCAAAACAGTCGTTCGGGCTGCGGCACATGAATGTGGGCACGGTGTGGCAGGCGACACAGGGCGTTCTGACGCACTACTTGAGCAGCAAATTTGCGAAGCATGAACGCCTGGTGGTTGTGGGGTATGACGCGCGGCGCAACAGCCGATATTATGCCGCGGTTGTCGCTGCGTGCGCTCTGGTGAAGGGTTTGAAAGTGCACATGTCGGACACCACAACTGCCACGCCGATTACGCCTTTTGCCGTCAGGAAGTACAACGCTTTGTTTGGCGTGCAGATCACGGCCTCGCACAACCCGCGCGACGACAACGGCTACAAGCTGTACGGTCCGAACGGCGTGCAAATCTTGCCGGAGGAGGCGAACGAGATCGAACGACTGATCGAGACGGACAACGAACCGTGGGAGAACGTGGACGAGTTGGTCGACCACGGCGAGCGGTGGATCAACACAACGCACCCGCTGATGGAGTTTGTGTTCGACAACTTGCTGACCGACTGGAACGACTACACCAGCACGATCATCTCCACTCTGAAACTGGACTTGCTGAAGAGCTACAAAGGCAACGTGGTGTACAACGCGGTGCACGGCGTCGGGTACAAGTTCGTGCGTGACTTCGTCGTGAACCGGCTAGGCTTCCCCGCAGCGCAGTTCTTCCCTGTGCCGAGTCAGTGCCACGAAAACTGGTCGTTCCGCACGCTGACGTACCCGAACCCGGAAGAGGCGGGCGCTGCGAACGCCGCGATCATTCACGCGGAGAAGACTAATTCCGACTTCATCGTGATCAACGATCCGGACGCCGACCGCTTGTTATTTTTGGAGCGCCAGCCGGACGGCTCGTACTACCGCTTCACCGGCGACGAGATCGGCATTTTGCTGGCTGCGTTTGCGGTGACTACGTACTCGAACCACTCCTCGGTCAATGTGCTTCGCAGCATTGTTTCTTCCGGTTTCATTGACGAGATCTACAAAAATGACAAAAACGTTAAAGTTTCGCACGTGCTGACAGGTTTCAAATGGCTGGCTTCCACCGCGACAGAGCTCAAAGAGAAGAAAAACGAGTTCACGGCTTTCTGCTACGAAGAGGCGCTGGGCTACGCGTGCTGCATCGAACAAGTGCCGGACAAAGACGGCATCAGCGCATTGGCTGCAGTCTTGAACTTCAAGCACAAGCTGAACTCGAGCAACTCCTCGCTGAAAGCGTACTTGGACAACTTGTGCAAAGCCACGGGCAAAACCGCTGCGCAACACAATACGTACATTGTGACGGAAAACAGAAACATTCCGATCGAGCTGCTGAAGAAGCTGCGAGCAAACAACTACGCCATTCAGATCGAGGGATTGACAGTTGAGAAAGTCGTCGACTTGTACCACCGCGAAGAAATCACGGCAAGCGGGCGCCAGCCCTGTTCGCTGCCGCCGGAGCCGATGCTGATCATTACGACGAAGGAAGGCTTCCGCTTCATTCTGCGACCCAGCGGCACCGAGCCGAAGATCAAGTTCTACACTGAGCTGATTGCGTCGTGCAGCAAAGAAGAGTGCAAGACGCTTGTGAAGGAGTACTACAACAGAACGGTCAAGTTCTTCGGGTTCTAAGCTATCGCGAGCGGACACTTTTGGCTTTCTGCGACTTTTGCAGCGACCGCAGCATCAGCTCGTACAGGTGGCAAAAGTGCGGCCCGAAATACGCGCCGTCGATGTAGCGGAACGTGTTGTGCTCGCTGTCGTAGCACTCTTTGCAGTTCATGCAGTAGCCAGTGGTGTGCGCCACGCGCGGCGTCGGACTTTTGCCGTACGGCAACAGCGCCGCGCCGCAGTTCGGACACGTGCCGAAGACTTTGCGACGGTAGAGCTCCTCGATGCGGCTCACGCCCTGGTTGGTTAGGATGTAGCGCGCGTGGATCAGCCCGTACAGGTCGCGCGCCGCGTACGAGATCTCCTTGTAGTCCACGTGGTAGCACTCGCTCACCACGCTCTGGTTGTCGAGAATCAGCGCTTTGGCCAGCTTGTAATGCGACACCATTGCCGAGAGCCCGTACAGGTTGAATTCATCCTCAATGAAGCTCGAGTCGACTTGGACAAAACAGCGGTAGTTGCGGCAAAACGACTCGATCCAGCTAACATCCTACTGGGCGTGCAGAGCAACCTACGCTGTCGGCTTCGGACGGCGAAGACACTTCCGAAGGCATGGCTATCAAAATAATTAATAAATCAGAAATCGAATTCGATCACTCCGTCTTCATCTTCGAGACGATTAAATTTTTGCGCAGCCACGGCCACGCGGGCACGATCAGCAATGCCAGCGCTGCGTAGCCGTACACGATCGTCTTTTGCATCGCGCGGTAGTTCCCGAGCGTCAAGCCCACGGCCAGCGCAACCGCAGTGATCAGGAAAAAGCCGACTGCGCAAAGCCGTTGAGAGATGCGCTGTCCGTGGTAGTCCTGTTCGCCGGACAGCAAGCCTTTGAGCACAGCTGCAAACGCCATCGTGGTTGTATTTAGCGAACAAAAAAATTTCAAGCTTTAATTTTATTCAAAGAAGCGACGATCTGAGCAGTGTCCAGGTTCAGATTCAGCCGGTGCGACTTGATCGCGGACCCCACCGCTGCCGCGATGTTGTCGTCGCTGATGCGCGAGAGCACGTCGTAGTTCGCGGCGTTCAGCGCGGCCGCCTCGACCGCGTTCATCACGGCGGGCTCTTTAGAGTTGACGACAGCGCGGACGGCGTCGGAGACGGCGTTGAGCTCTTCCTCGTTCTCCACCAGCTCTGCCGGCACCGGAACTTCCACAAAGCGCGGCACTACAATTTCGTAGTTCTTTACGGAGTACTTCGGTTTCAAGATGTTGATGCGCACGTCGACGTCCGCCTCCACCGGGACCGGAATCTTGCGGTCGATGTGGAACGGCGTCGGGATCGGGATGATGTTCGGCACGGGTTTCTTCACGTACTTCGGCACGTAGACCTCTTTTTCGACTCTCTGCACGACGACTTTCGGAATTTCGACGACGCGTTCGTACGGAATGTCGATGTACTCGATTTCCGGCACTTCGACCAATTTGTCGACGTACTGCACGTCGGCGACCTCGACAGTAGCCTCGAACTCGTTGACCTGAGGCTTGATGTCCTCTTCGCTCGCAACCCGCATCATCTTCGGAATTTAAAAATTTGATACGAAATTCCGAAACTGTGGTAATTAGCCGAGGCGGACGCGGCGTGCGTTCCGCCCGAGATCTGCGCTGACCGCGAGCCGCAACCCGCCTAGCTGTCGAACACGGAAAACAGCCGCTGCATCACGTGCTCTACGCTGGCCTTCGGCGCGAAGCGTTCGGACGCCGTTGCCGGCCCGGCGTCTGCGCCGCCCGACTCGGCGGACGGCGCGTCTTCTGCGTAGACAGAGTAGCTCGCCTCGCTGACGTGCTCGCTGTTCAACAGGTACTCAATGGGCTGCAACATCTGCGTCCACGCGTTCTGCAGTAGGTCGTTCAGAAACGGCTTGCGCTCGCTCTCCCAGACGCGCACGCCACCGAGGATTGCTTCGCGCTTCAGCCGCGCTCGCTCGCGCAGCTCTGCGACGAGCTCCGCGTGTTTCGCAGCGCGCTCGCGCAGCTCGTCGCCGAGCGCGCCAACCTCCGCGGTTAGCGCCTTGCGCTTCTCGGCGAAACTCTGCTTCGCTTTCGCGCGACGCGCCTCGATGAAGCGGATCTTCGCCTGCACCACGTTCACGTTCGAGCGGACGCGGTCCAGCTTGACGTTCAGCTCTTTCCACTCTTCGTTGAACGACGCTTCGAACTTCTTTTGTTCTTCGAGGTGCTCGTCGATCTGCTCCTTGTAGCGGTTGATCTCGTTGCGCGTGAATGCGATGCGCCGCGTCGCGTTCTGCTTTTGCAACTCCATGCTGTCTAGCTCCGAGTTCAGCAGTTCGCGGAAGTTGGTGATCTGGTTGAGCACCGTCGAGTTGATCGACTCGGTCACCTCGGTTTTGAACAAGCTGTCGTTCGCGAACAGCTTCTTGATGCGCTCGTTGGTCACCAGGCTGTTCGAGTGCAGCGCCGAGCGAATCACTTGGTACTTCGCGCAACACGCGGCCTTGACCTCCTGCGCCTCCTCCGTGGCCTGTTTCAGCTCCTCCGCCAGGCGCGTCTTCGCTTCGGCGAGCTGCGCGAGTGAGCCGCGCAACTCGCTCAGCGCGGCGACTATCGTTTCGTGATGCCGCGCGAGGTTGCGCTGCTTCGTGTCTTCCGCGACGCGCTGCCTGTGCTCATCCGCCAGCTTCTGCTTGGTTTCCTCCAGCGTGCCTTGCCGCAGCTTCAGCTCTTCGGCTTGCGCCTTCGTCTCAGCGATCGACTTCTCGAACGCGCCGACCGTGTTCGCCAAGTTCTCCAGGTCTTCGCTGAACCGCGAACACACGTTTTCGTATTCCTGCTTCGCTGACTCGAGCTCCGCGAGCTCCTCGCGACTTTTCTCCACGCTGAGCGTCCCCGCGCCTTTGAACTCCAGCTTCTCTCGTTCAATACACTCGCGGAACTGCATGATGTAGCACCGCAGCAGATAGCGCGAAAACGCGAAGACCGCTTTCTTCTCGCGCTCGCCGAGCTCCTCGGAGTTCCGGTCGCGCATGCCGCGGAACAACATGCCCAGGACGAACAAGTAGTCGTGGCTGAACACGGTGACCTCTTGGCTCGAGTACTGCTTGCAGCGCACGGGGTCTGGGTCGAGCGCGCGGTTTGCACTCACGAAGTTCACGATCTGCTCCAGAATCCCGTGGTCCAGCTTGTTCGCGCGCACGATGCGCCCCGCAGTGATCACCTCCAACTCTTTTTTGCACAGATTGCTCATTGAAAAGTTGCACACCTCGCGCGCCAGTCGGATCAGCTCCGCGAGCCACATCACCGAGAGCTTCAAATGGTTCGAGTCCGTCTCGAAGAACTTGCTCAACGGGCCCGGGTAGCAGAAAAACAGCAGCAGCGAGTGCGCCTGCTGCAGCGTGCCTACGCGGAAACCCGCGTAGCGCAGCAGGTAAATCAAGCACTGCCTGCAGTTCGAGTAGCTCGACAAACTGTCCGTGTTCACATCGCTCAGCCCGAGGGTCTTGATGAAGCTGCGTCGCGCGAGAGAAAACCTACACAGTGGTTTTCAGGCTTAGGCGCGTGTCTAAGTCGTGCGATTCGTTGAGCATCCTCGCATCCCAGTCCCGCCGCGCCGATTCTTAGGCGCGCTTTATTAGTATAAAAAATGAAAATTGCCGCAGCGCAGCGGCCCGCGCTGCGCGCGATCAGCGCTTGTGCTTGCGACTGTCCTTGCGCGACAGCGTGGTGCGGTCGCGGCAGCCCTTGCCGCCATTCCAGAAAGCAGTGTACTTGGCGGGCCCGAACTTGCCGCACTGGCACTCCTTCAGGGTTGCGCTCTGAATCTTGCTGCAGTGGCCGCACACCATCAGGTTTGCCAGCTCGTCTGCCGCATGGTTGCTCACCGCGTCGTGGCATTTTGCGCACGGAAACGGCACATTGCAGCACTGCCAGATGAACCAACGCTGGCTCTTGGCGTAGTGCTTGCACGCGCCAAGTTTCGGCAGCGGCGAGTTCGGCTTGAGCGCGAGGGCGGCGGCAGCGGTTTTCTGCGTTTTGTTCGCTTCGCAACGCCCGGCGAAAAAGAACTGCTGCGTTTTCAGCGAGAGCTCCGCGAAGCAGCCGGGGCAGTTCGCGCTGCACACCGATTCGGGCCGAAGCGTCGCCGCGACGTCCGCGTTGCAGTTCAGGCACTGCAGCACCACGTCGGCAGCGAGCGCAAAACACGCGCCAAAGTTCGGCACGTTCAGTTTGAAGAGCGGTACGTTCTCGGCGGTGAGCAGCACACTTTGCACGTCGGCCTGCGTCTTCGACACGCAGTACGCACAAGCCACCAACAGCTGTCGCGGGACGCCCGGCGCGTCGCCGAACTGTAGCCGGTGCGTCGCGACCTTCTTGCAGTTGTTGCACTTCAACGAACACTCGCAGGCGCGCGCGCAGACGGCGCCGACATTTTTCATGTTGCTCAGCTCGGCGAAGCAAGTCGTGCGAAACGAGACGCGCGGCGCGGGCTGCGCCGCGCGCGCGCGCGCAAGCCTCGCTGTCGCGGAGGACGCATCGGTCGCTTTGGCGGCTGCAAGCGGCGCGCCGCCTTCCGGCGCACGGGCTTCTGGCGCGCTCTGCGCTCGCAGCTCTGCGTACGCGCAGAAGTGCTGGTAGCAGTCGGCGGGCGATCGCGTTGCGACAAACTCACTGATCTTCGCCCACTTGGAGGTGAAGTTGGCAAACGACTTGTGCCACACCACGGCCTGCGCCAGCCGCTCTTCTTCTACTTCTGTCCACTCGACGGCTTCGTGCTGTCGGTACAACTTGTCCAAGCTCGGAGTCCAATCCGGCAACGAGTGGCTCAGCGCGCGGAACAGCGCGTACGCGGGCGAGGAGACAGTCAGGGCGTGCTTTTGAAACGCGTCTGCGCTTACTGCAGTCTTCAGCTTCCTGACGAGGTAAGCCTCGACGTAGGCAGGGTAGTTTGACACTCGCAGCGCGGACGCGTCGACCACGCCGCTGCGCTTGTATTCTGCGTCGAGCGTG